AAAAAAAAAAAAAAAAAAAAAAAGAACATTACTAACAGTGTTTTAACATTTTCTTCTACTGCATAATCCCTGTTTCTTCATAGTTATGTTTTGTGTTAGGGGCTTTCCTCCTAAATCTGATGACCCTTTGCTATTCACACATACAAAAGTGGGGCAGGTTGAGAAGCTAATTAGGAGCTCTACAAAGATAGTCAGGGCTTGTTGACTGAGCTACAATATGTAAGGTCATCTGCCTGGGCTGTTTCATAGGAGAATCGCTCATTCTTCCCACCCCCACTCCCTACCCCATCATGCTGATCAAATTCCCTAGAAAGATTCTTCTCTTCTTCTCCCTGGAGATTTTAAGCCTGGCTGCAGATTTAGTGGGGAAAGAGGGTGTGAGTTTCATCATTCAGTTTCATCATTCACATCATGCCACTCTTTTATATATAGAACCCCTGATTGAAATTGTACCCATTGATGCCTAGTCATACTCTCTCCAGAGATTAAACCTTCAATCTTCTGTTGGAGTCAGGGAGAGACAGGTTTCTAGGTACCAGAAGGAAAGAGGAAATGTACATCTTAAGTGCTATATTAACTGATGTACAACCAATTATTCTTTCACTCTCCCTCCCCAACAGAAGCTATGAATGCCTCCTAAGCCTTTGAGGACTTCTTTGTTGTGTATCATGTTGCTTCTTAGGTTTTCCCACTGTCAATTTAGGATACAGCCCTCCTAGATTCACAGAAGAAATGATCACCTGTCCATCTGCTTCCTGCTTGCAGAGTTTTATTGCTGTTGCCTCCTACTCTATTCTCTTTATTCAGTTTTTGTCTTAGTTTCTTTACTGTTATTTTGTTAGGCTTTCTGGAAGAAATAGAAACAAATACCTGTGCTTAAACAGTTCCTTTCAACTGGAAGCCAAAATAACCTGTTAACCTGTGTTCATGGACACACTCTTGCCATCCTCTAATCCATTCTCCATACCACAGCTGGAGTAATCCTTTGAAATACAAGTGTAATATGTCACCTCTTTGCTTAAAAGAGTTCATTGGTTTTTCTATGCAAAGTTCAAAGTCTTTAACATGAGCCATAACCCTCAGCATGGTCTGACTTCTTCCTGCAGCCTAGCATTGTCCTGTGCACTAGTCTTCTTTCCCTTCTCTGAATGCTGCCAAGTCCATGCACTTCTCTGCCTGGATCACTCCCTCCTCACCCTCCCCTTCCCAGCAATTTCCCTTTACTTTGTTAACTCCTCCTTTCCTTGCAACTCATTCGTTACTTCCTTAGGGAACATCTCCTGTCCTTCTTGACCAGCCCAGGCCCTCTATGAAATACTTTCACACCAACATGTACTTCTTTTTTTATAGCGCTTCTCCCTGTGGTAAATGTACATTTAGTTGGGTTATTCTTTCATTAGTTTTTCTTCCCCCTCCTGGACTCCAAGCTTCCTGAGAGCAAGGACCACGTGTATTTTTGTTCACCACTGTCTCCTCGGCAGTGGCACTGGGCCTGGCACATTGTAACCATTTAAAACATCTGTTGAAATGGAAAAAAATAAATCCAAACTTGCCTAATTCCTTTCATTCCCCTAGTTTATTGCCAACTTCCAAACTGTGAGGAAAGCTCAATGCTTTCTCTTCTCATTTCATCTTCGGGAAGAGAGGGCAGAGAGCCAATGTGGGTTAGGGTTAGGACTGCGAGGTTTCTGGCTATAGTCCTAAGGGACAGAATTTTTTTGTGTCCATATGACATGGTCTACGGGCTCACATTTTTTTGTTTTCTCCTTAGATTGTCTCTCTTTAGAGTTTGTCTTTAGATTCTTAGGTACTTCTTCCTTTTGTTTTTTATTAATATACCTGGGATTAGATGGAATCCCAGGGCAAGGAAGCCTAAGCAGAAAGAGACATCCAGTTTCACATGTGGTCTTGCCCTATGCACTAGAAATGAGTTCTACTGAGATTTGAGATCCAAAACTTCAGCAGTAAAACACAGTATCCTTTCTACATGCCTCCTTTGGTAACCTATAGAATTGATAAGAGTGTCAAGATCCCATTCTCTTCAATCTTTCCATCCTGGAGACAAGACTCACATTTACCTCAGGTAAGAAATTATTTAGGATGGAATTTGGGGGGGGGGGTCCTGTTTAGTTCTTATTTACCACACATCATTGGTTGACTCTGTTAAGTCTCTGGAACCTGACTTCTGTCACATACAACTGACCAAGCTCCTTAATTTAATCAGTAGTGTCCAGATTGTGCTTCAGTGATCCCTAGGGGTTTTGTAGTGGTATCTCTGAGGACCGCTACAGAGGACAAGTTGGCAAGGAGCATGAGGTCCACCAGAGCAACATGTAAGATTTCATGTTACATGCCTTTCTTGGTGCTTTACAATGTGCCTCACTTACTGATATGTATGTATATGTGTGTGCGTATGGTCATTTTATCTACACAACAACCATACTATTGTCATCTTGATTTGATAGATTAAGAAATTGAGGCATGGGCCCCAAGTGGTGGCTCACACCTGTAATCCTAACACTCTGGGAGACCGAGGGGGAGGATTGTTTGAGGTCAGAGTTCAAGACAAGCCTGAGCAAGAGCGAGACCCGCGTCTCTGCTAAAAAATAAAAAATAGTAGTTGGCCTTGGTGGCGTGTGTCTGTAGTCCCAGCTACTCAGGAGGCTGAGGCAGGAGGATGGCTTCAGCCCAGGAGTTTGAGGCTGCAGTGAGCTACGATGACGCCACTGCACTCTAGCCTGGGTGACAGAGAAGCCTTGTCTCAAAAAAAAAAAAAATTGAGATACAGAAAGATTCAGCAACTAAAGTAATATAGCTAGTAAGTGCCATAGTTAGGCTTGGAATTATGATAAGAATATCATAATTCTGGCCCACCCTTCTTGATTTCTAAGTTATACCGGAATTTATTGTGTGCTAGGGACTGTGCTGTTTTATAAGCATCATTTATTTTTCATAACTGCCCTATATGGTGGGTACTATTCACCCACATTTCTATGGCCTTTTATAGTTTACAAGAGCCTTTCAGAAGATGCTTTACGTCGCACACTAACTGAAACACTTAAGACAAATCGCCAACTTTTCTCCACATCTGCATCTGTTTCCTTAACTCCTGGAAATCTCGAACGTTTGCCGGTGTACTTCGGCAAATGTCTAGTGAAGATTCTCGTTACAACAACCGGTTGAGCCCTAGCTTTGCCTCCGGATTTCGCCTTTTCCAGGGCGAGGTTCCCGCGTCGGTTAGGAGCTGCGCATGCGCGGGAGCTCACCAAACGCGGGGCCCCGCCTCCCTTCCTAACAAGGGAAGCGAGGTAGCGGCAGGGCGCGTGCGCAAGCGAGGCCGCGGCGCCGGGGCGGTGGGTTACGCCTGGAGAGCGCATGGGCAGACAAACTGTACGTCCGTTTGTCCGGCCTGGAGGGGCGAGTGGGCGCCATTTTCTTCTAGGCTCACTGAGGGTTCTGCGTGTTCTGGGGAGGCTGCTGCGACGAGGAGCGCCCTCAGGCCCCGGTCTTGTGTGTCCGACTCGGCAGCAGTGGTGTGTGTTTATTGCCAAGTGCGAAGCAGTTTCCCTTGGGGCGTCGGGGCTGGGGAGGGGTTTGCGACCAAGCCGGAAGAACAGGGAAAGGCGGGGCCGGCGGCCGCGCCAGGATCTAGCGTAGCTTCTGCCGTTAGGGCACCCTCTTTTCTTGCTAAACACCGACTCTCCGTCTCCCGTCAGCTTCCATGTGGTGGTGTGTATGCGCTTCCCAGTGATCTTGAGAGTGAAGATCTCCAAGGATTTCATAGGTATTTTTTTCTTTGCCGTGTCATCATAGTCATTGGTGGTAGATAAATGCTGAAGGCCCAGCTCGTTAGGTTTGAGAAGGGCAAGTGTTTCAGTTAGATTTGGGGGCACTTCACCCTCTGGCGAGTTAGGGTGGAATGTTTGCCCTTGGGACGGCGTAACGGAAAGGCACGGAGGTTGGGCGGTCCAGGTTAATTTGAAGGCTGATTTTGGCTGAAGGTCTGGCGACAGCATCGGATCCCGCGTAGCAACTTTGGCCTGGCGCGAAAGAAGGAATCTCTGACCCCTGGGAGTGTGGACAAAGGCTGTGGGCTGTAGAATCGATGCCTTCGGATGATCCAGTTTGAGGATAATGGATGTTGTGGGAGCCCCTGTGCCGCTTGGATTCATCTTCATTTACAGTTCCTCTTAAGCTCTCGGTGGTCATACTTGCGATTTTTATTTTAACCATCTACATTATAAAAGGCAGATCATCGTGAAGAATAATTGTGGACTGGGGTAGACTGTTTTCTGCAGGAGAAGGAAACTCAACGTTCAGAATCTGAAATGCTACATCATAACTGGGTTTTAAGAAATTAGTCCCAAAGGGTAAAAGAGCATTCTCTCCCTATGTCTGTAAAATGACTTTTTATTCTCTAGTTAAAAATTAAATGGATCTGAGATAATACCTATTTAAATTCAGCCTCCCTTCTGTTTCCCATTCCTTGTCCCTCTCAGTCTTGATTAGAAGATGCAGTTTTTATATTTTTTTAGTTATAATGGTAATTAAGTGGGATTAATGGCTGGATAAAATCAGCAAAGTTATTTAAAATGCACTCTTAATTTCAGTAACTTACCCTTATATGAGCTTTTAGGGATCCACTTTCTTTTCATTGAAGTCTAACAGATTACTGTGTCTTTAAATGAACACAAAGTCACAAAATACTTTCTGTATTCATTTCTAGAAAAAATTTAAGTGCAAAGTACTTTAAGGTAATTTGTATATTTTGCTTTTTGCATAATTTAATGTGTTAAGAATATAATTTCTGGGGAATTTGCTTAATTAAATAGAATATTGGAACCACAGGACAAATGCTCATTTGGGGAGCTGGTCTCATATATAGGTAGTCTCCTCAGTGTGTTATTGTAGAAAGATAAATGGCACATTACCCTCCTACCTCAAGGGCAGAGAAATTTAAGTGTTAGTTATATATAACTGTGGCATATTAGAACAAACTTAAAATAGTCTGTTTGAATTGGAATTCATGAGATTTGCGTTTATGAAACTACTTAGTTGAAAGATTGTTTTTAAGTCAGGGAGGATAAATTACTACAGATTTTTTTTTTGAATTTGACATATAATTATTCCTTGAAATGTTTCTGTTTTTTCTTATAAATGAATTTATGTTCTCAGGGTAAATCCTTTTTAAATTTTTAAAAAAGTTTAGGTGAGACAAAGTGATGTGTATCTTCATGCTGTTCTCTAAAATATCTTAAAAGTAACTAAGCCAGTTTGCATAGGAGGGAGTCTTGAGACTTTAATGTGGATTTATTGTCCAGAAACCATATTTACAGTTTTTGTTGAAGTGTTGGTGTGGATCTTGGTTTGTGGAAGAAACTAGGCTTATAATCTTTTTTTTTTTTTTTTTTCGGTACTGTGCAGATATTTTAATTCTAAACCTCATTAATATTTTTCAAATGCAGAATGTAATTTCTTGATATCTTTGTTAGGTTAGCTCGTAGTTTAAAAAGTTTAATTTATGGACCCTTTTTTAAAGGAATACAAACCTTGCAGACCTCAGTGAATGTCTTCGAACCCCACTTTGTGGAACAGTAGTACTTAAGTGTAAGTACTGGATTAAAGCAACATTTATTTGCACAATAAAAACATGTAAATTATAATTATTAATTCGGCAGGTCTTAAAAACTTATTTGGTAAGACTTCATTAAATCCTGTTAGTTTGGGTATCCCTGGAAGTATTAGATGCAAGTTTCCTTATAAAAATACTACATTGAGATTTTTCAGTAAACTGGTAATCCCAATATTCCAGATTAATGAATTTTTATTATATTTTTACTTTTCTACATTGTCATTTAGGTTTCCTCAATAGAGTGCAGGGTAGTTGAAATGGAATAAGGCTGTTGGCATAATAAAATTCTATTATCTTAGCATTTTCTCTTTGGCTTGAGATGGACTTTAATGCTTAACTGTTTTAGGAGAATGAGATGAGTAGTACTGAGATTTTTGGTTTTAGGGATATTGTAGTAGTTGCCTTAATTATATTGGAGTCATGAAATTTGTTTCCCTGTTTGGAAGCGTGAGCTGTATTTGTAGAACTTTAAATTGTATCCAGTTGGTAGCCATAGGTTTGGATTTATTGCTTTAAAAATTGATTTTTGAATTTTAAGCTTTGCTGTTTTCTTCATTTATTGTATTGTTTTGAATGGTTGTCTTATTTACTTGATTTCATCTTATGTTTTGAAAGGGAGAATAGCAAGAGAATTGGATGGCAAAGTGATTGAAGGTCTTTTTTTTTTTGAATTTTTGTTATTAAATTGACATTTTACTCGTAGAACAGTTTTTTTTTAAAGTGGATGTAAACATTCCAGATAGCAAAGTGCATAGACCTTAATTAAGGATAGAATTTAGTGAACCTTGACAAATTTATGCATCCAGGTATCCAGCACTGTATTCAACATATGTAACATTTCTCTCACTGGTTCTACTTCTAATCAAGGAGTAGTTTAATTTTTAGCAAGTGTTTTATTTTGTAATCATTTGCAGATGTTTACTTGGATATCACACCTCCTTTTTGCAGAAGGATGATTAGTTTCCCCTTAGAACAAAGAAGACCATTTTGTAATGGCCTAATTATGGTTCCTTATGTTGCTTCACTTTTGATAGGTAATCCTGAAATGGATATCCTAATCTGGCATTAAGATAAATTATAGGGTTCAAGGATTAATTATATTTCATTTTCTTTCCACAGTTAAGTTGCTTTTACAGAATTAACAGGTCTCCAAGAAATAAAAAAAAAAAAGGTAAGATATCTAGAGTTTAAGGTTTTTCACAGAGGCTTATCAAAAAAAACCTATACAATAGAATAGTACTTTTAGGTACCCATGGCCTCTGTTCTTTATGTTTGGTCAGTGATACACTAGTGGTAGGCATTTTATCATCATGAGCAGCAATTGTATACTAATCATAGATGGCTTTTCTAAATATGTAAAATTCATTGTAGTTGGTAAAATACTTCAGTTCACAAAGCTCTCTCATGTTTCAGTAGAAGACAATGTTTTTAAATTAGTCTGAAAGTAGTTTGGTCTTGTTATGAAGCAGCATTTGGCATACTTACAAAGGAAGATTTGATATTTTTGATGTTCTTCATGTATAGGATAGGTGATATTTCATATTTTATGAAGGTAGTTGGTTTATTTGTATGTTTAGATGGGAGAAAGTTTATTCTTTGTTTTCTTTAATAATTAGATAAGATCAATATTTCTGTGAACTTGTATCTTGTTTTCATTTATAAATGCTGAAGGAAGCAGGAACCAGGTAATTGTTAAGTTTAGTTTGGGCTAAGGTACTTCAAAAATAAGACTTGCTATTATGTGTACCTTTTTGTCTGCAGGTCATTATTGCTGTGGTTTGAGCTCAGCATGGCTGTAGTCATCCGTTTACTTGGGCTTCCTTTTATTGCGGGGCCTGTGGATATTCGTCACTTCTTCACGGGATTGACTATTCCTGATGGAGGAGTGCATATAATTGGAGGGGAAATTGGGGAGGCTTTTATTATTTTTGCAACAGATGAAGATGCAAGACGTGCCGTAAGCCGTTCAGGAGGGTTTATCAAGGATTCATCTGTAGAGCTCTTTCTTAGTAGCAAGGCAGAAATGCAGAAGATTATAGACATGAAAAGAACTGATCGTGTGGGAAGAGGGCGACCAGGATCTGGGGCATCAGGGGTTGGCAGCCTATCTAATTTTACTGAGGCAATTAAGGAAGAAGCAAGTAATTCTGGATATGGCTCTTCGATTAATCAAGATGCTGGGTTTCATACTAATGGTACAGGACATGGTGATTTAAGGCCAAGAAAGACAAGGCCATTGAAGGCTGAGAATCCTTACTTGTTTCTACGAGGTTTGCCTTACTTAGTAAATGAAGATGACGTACGTGTCTTTTTCTCTGGTTTGTGTGTGGATGGAGTAATTTTCCTAAAACATCATGATGGCCGAAATAATGGTGACGCCATAGTAAAATTTGCTTCATGTATTGATGCTTCAGGAGGTCTTAAATGTCATAGAAGTTTTATGGGTTCACGATTTATAGAAGTAATGCAAGGATCAGAACAACAGTGGATTGAATTTGGTGGTAATGCAGTTAAGGAGGATGAAGTTCCTATGAGATCTGAAGAACGTTCTCCACCAAGAGGAATTAATGATAGACATTTTCGAAAATGGTCTCATTCAAAATCTCCAAGAAGAACACGTTCTCGTTCCCCTCTTGGATTTTATGTTCACTTAAAAAATCTGTCCCTAAGTATTAATAAAAGGGATTTAAGAAATTTCTTTAGAGATACTGATCTGACTAATGAACAGATTAGATTTTTATATAAAGATGAAAGAAGAACAAGATATGCCTTTGTGATGTTCAAGACTCTGAAAGACTATAATACTGCTCTGGGTTTACATAAGACTGTTTTACAATATCGTCCAGTTCATATTGATCCAGTTTCTAGAAAACAGATGCTGAAGTTCATTGAATGTTACGAAAAGAAGAGACCAGGGTCAATAGAGAAAGAGAGGCCTGGACATGTTTCACAAAAATACTCTCAAGAAGGCTACTCTGGCCAGAAGCTGTGCATATATATAAGAAATTTTCCATTTGATGTTACAAAAGTTGAAGTGCAGAAGTTCTTTGCAGACTTTTCTCTCGCTGAGAATGACATTTACTTGCTTTATGATGACAAAGGAGTTGGTCTGGGAGAAGCATTGGTGAAATTTAAATCAGAAGAACAGGCCGTGAAAGCCGAACGTTTAAACCGACGAAGATTCTTAGGGACAGAGGTATTATTAAGACTTATATCTGAGGCACAAATGCAGGAGTTTGGTGTAAATTTTTCCTTGATGTCCAGTGAGAAAATGCAAGTCTATCCAGAGTCATGTGATAGAGATGACCATTCCCATTTATTTGACTCAAAAGATGCACCAGTGTACTCAGTTGGCCCTTCTGAAAACTTCAGACATCAGCTAGAGGACTTGAGGCAACTGGATAACTTCAAGCATCCCCAGGGGGATTTCCGACAGCCAGATAGGCGCGCTCCAGAAGACTTCAGGCACTCTTCAGAAGATTGCAGGTTCCCCCCAGAGGAGTTCAGGCGTTCCCCAGAGGACTTCAGGCGCCCTCGGAAGGAGCACTTCAGGCGGCCTTCTGAGGAGGACTTCCGCCGCCCTTGGGAAGAGGACTTCAGGCACCCCCCGGAGGATGACTTCAGGCACTGTAGGGAGGAGGACTGGAGGTGGCCTCTTGAGGAGGATTGGAGGCGGCCACTGAAGGAGGATTTCAGGCGGTCTCCCAAGGGGGACTTCAGGCAGCTTCCTGAAGAGGACTTCAGGCAACCCCCCGAGGAAGACTTCAGGTGGCCTCCAGAGGGAGATTTCAGGCGGCCACCTGAGGAGGACTGGAGACGGCCACCCGACGTGGAGTTGAGGCGGCCACCTGAGGTGGACTTGAGACGGCCACCCGAGGAAGACTTTCGGAGGCCCTCAGAAGAGGATTTCAGGCATTCCCCTGAGGAAGACTACAGGCATTTGCCCCAGGAGCATTTTAGACGGCCATCCCAGGAGCACTTCCGGCGGCGGCCCCCGGAGTATTTCAGGCGACCACCTCCGGAGCACTTCAGGCGGCCACCCACGGAGCACTTTAGACGGCCACCCCCGGAGCATTTCAGGCGTCCGCCCCAGGAGCATTTCAGGCGTCCGCCCCAAGAGCATTTCAGGCGTCCACTGCAGGAGCATTTCAGGCGCTCCCGAGAGGAAGAGTTCAGGCACCCACCAGATGAAGACTTCAGGGGCCCTCCTGATGAAGACTTTAGGCGCCCTCCCGATAAGGACTTCAGAAGCTCCCAGGAGGAAGATTTTAGATGCCCTTCTGATGAGGACTTCAGGCAGCTCCCTGAGGAAGACCTTAGGGAAGCTCCAGAGGAGGACCCTAGACTTCCTGACAATTTTAGACCTTCTGGTGAGGATTTTAGGAGCCCGCCTGATGATTTTAGAAGTCATCGCCCTTTTGTGAATTTTGGTCGCCCAGAAGGTGGCAAGTTTGATTTTGGAAAGCATAATATGGGAGGTTTTCCTGAGGGGCGATTTATTCCTGATCCAAAGTTAAATTGTGGTTCAGGTAGAGTAACTCCTATTAAGATAATGAATCTTCCATTTAAAGCTAATGTTAATGAAATTTTAGACTTTTTCCATGGTTACAGAGTCATACCTGATTCAGTTTCGATACAGTATAATGAGCAAGGATTACCTACAGGGGAAGCCGTTGTTGCTATGGTAAACTATAATGAAGCTATGGCTGCTATTAAAGATCTAAATGATAGGCCAGTTGGCCCCAGAAAGGTTAAGTTAATTTTGCTCTAGAGAGCATTTCTAAATTCAGAGTTAATCTTCTTCCCACAGTATTGATGCAGTAAAATGCATTTTTTTAAGTGTTTATTTTTAATTATCTAATGAAAAGAAATACTTTAATTTTGACGTGTGAATAGAACAAATGTAAATAGTAGAATGTGAATCTGGTTTTCTTTTGCTTGCAAATTGCCGTTCATTTTTTCTAATTTAAAATTATATATGCTTTTTTTTTATTCCCTCACAAGAGAGAACTAATTCCCTGAGTTCATTAATTTTTGTTGATGTCATAGTTAAACCTCAAGACTTACATAAAGTAGAATTGTATTATTTGGGGAAGATAAATTTTATATTTACTTTTACTTCATTCTGTAGTCTATATCTTTTACTCAAACTGTATAAGGAAATAGTCAGTGACTGATTGTTCAGGTTTGGCATTTTCATTGCTACCTGCCTGCAGAATTAATGCCCTTTCCTTGTCTGAGATATTACTGTGTTAAGCCTCCTGTTAATTATAAGTAGTTCAAAGTGGACAGACTATCAACTTGAAATTTACTTATGTAAAAAGCTTAGGTGATTCTTAAGGTTTCCATGTTCATAGCTTTGCAAAGTTTTATAAAAATAAAAAATTGCAACTGAATAGAGCAACTAATTAACTTGTATTTGTATAAAAAGAAAAAAGAATTGCAGGTTGGTATTGTTAAGTTTTTCAACAACTACATTAAACTATAATTATGATGGGAGGGACCAAACATTCTATAACAATAATGTGTAGCGCTGTGTATATTCTATGGTTTCTTCAACATCTTATCAACAAAATTGATAAGATTAACATAAAATACCGGAAAGACAAAATAGGAATGTAATTATAGGTCCAAGGGGACTCTCAGGCTTTTGCTGGCAAGAATCTGACAATTGGGTATAGTATTGTTTTTCTAGGAAGAATTTATTGATGATTCATATAACATGCATGAAATATTAGGTTCTCATTTTTTAGCTTCAAAAACGTATCCATTCAAAGACTCTGTAACTAAATAAGACTTGTGAGATTGAATTTTGACTTCCTTGATAGTCAACATTTAGTGTACACATTTTGCAAATAGTGAATTTGATTTTTCTATACCCATAATAATATTAATGGCTAACATTTACTAGGTACTTACTATGTGCTAGGCACTATAAGCGCTTTACATGCATAATCCAGGTATACCCCTAATAAGTACATGGTTTATTATTTACCTCTATTTCACAAATGAGATAATGAAGTCGGAGGTTAAGCAGCTTGCCTAAAGTCACAGATAGTAAATCATGGAGCCAATTTCAACCCAGACTGACCACCGACTCCAGTTCATGCTCTTAATACTTTTCTGCCTCACCTTGTTAAATGGTATTTTTAATTTTAATAAAACTATGCTAAATCTATTTTCAAGGGTAAATGATATTTTACCTGCATTGTTGGCTTAAAAATAGCATTAGAAAAAGATAAAACTAGGGTGCTCAAAAAGAAAAAAACAAAGTGACTTTAAAAGTTTTTATATAACCAGGGTTTCTTTTAGGGTACATTATATATTGGCTTCTATTTCAAAATTGTTCATTTTATCCAATATGATTTGATTTTGTTGGCCTTTTATAGTTTACAGAAAACATAATTTTCCTCAGTTCTGTGATGCAGAGATTTTCCACATTGAGTAAGTAAGAATAAAATTGAATTTATATATGATAGTTTAGTCATTTAATAATAGGATGTGGCAGAGGTAGAATACTTTGTCAATACCTAGTCAATTAGTATCTATAAGTATTTTGTTTTTTTTTTGTACCTGTAAGTATTTTGCATCAGTTTTCAGTGATTTAAAGAAATCTAAGAAGTCTACATAAATTTCTTTGTTTTTGATAGTGAATATCCTGCTTACTAGTAGAATGAATAAACTGGTAAATTTGGTTCAAAAAGGCACTTCAGTATGGCTCTTTAAACTAGTAAGCTTTTAAATAGCTAGGAGAATGATAAACTGTTTAGAATATCCAAATCTAGCATAATGAACAAAATAGGAAGAAATAATATTTTTAATTGCTCAAAGATTATAGATAGTTCATTTGATCAGCCTTCTTGAGTAATATATGGAAGATTTAAAAACACTGCTCAAATACAAAGCAGTATAGCTAAGATGCAGCTTAAAGTGAAAGACCACTTAATGTGGAATTGCTTCTCAGACTGTGCTGGGGTGATGGTAGTGGTGGATAAGAGGCCAGCTATAGTAAACACAGCTTTGTATTATATTTTAAAATTAATTGATGCGAATATTTCATTTTATTCCATAATATGTTGCAGTTTAATTTTTTTAACTTCATGATAAAAAATTTATTGTAGAAAGCTGGCGTCTACTGGTTGGGAGACATTTTTGCACATCTCTTTCCAACTCTGCCTTTAATGATATGTCAGTAACTTAAATTGGCCATGCTAGGAATATTTGCACCACGGAAATTGGTAAATGCAGCAGATCAGGGATTCTCTTCCTTTTATCCCTCCCCCTTCTCCAGCCAATTACTGGCACATTACTAATTTCAAACTTGGAATAGTGTACTAAATTCTCATGTACTCATCATCCAGCTTCAATAATTATCATCTCATAGCCAGTTTTTCCTCTCTCCCATCACCAGATATACCAGGTACACTCTAGGCATATATTGGTGTTCTAGTGTGAAACACACTAGATGTCTTGATGCCAAACGTTTTTGTCTAGAAAGTATCTGAAAAATACAGATCATATGTAGAAAGTTATTCCCATAATGAAGAGATAGGTAAATATCATATTAGGAGTATACTTCTATCAGTTTACTGAAAACACTGTCTAGAGCTTTGGCTCCTGATCCATGTATCACCTATTAAGCAGCTATTGACCCTGTTGCCTCTTATCTTTGCATTAAATATTAGCTATATTGTTTATTGAGATGCATTAAATACTATATTTATGAAATATTTATGATCTTATATATGAATATATGTATTAACTATTTTTTAATCTTGATAATCCTATAGGTTGAGTATCCCTAATCTGAAGATCTGAAATGCTCCAAAATCCCAAATATTTGAGTGCCAACATGATGCTCAAAGGAAATACTCGCTGGAGCATTTTGGATTTCAGATTTTTGGATTAGGGATGCTGAACTGGTAAAATGAAAATACTCCAAAATCCGAAAAAATTCAAAATCTGAAATACATCTGGTCCCAAGCATTTTGGATAAGGGATACTCAACCTGTATCCCTGTTTTGGAGGTAAGAAGTGGAGACTTACAGGCTAAGTAAGGCTGTAAGTCTCCATCTTATTAATATAACTTGGGTTGGTTGCCTGTTTTTTTTCTTTCTTTTTTTAACAGCAGGAAGCTAAGAATGGTTTATATATTTTTCAATGTGGTTACATCATAAATGGCTACGTAAGTACACATATAATAGCCTCGATTTTTGCCTCTTGGCCCACAAAGGGTAAAAATCTTTACCATCTGGTCCTTTAAGAAGCAGCTTGCCAACCTAGGACTGGTCTTAATAATGAAACTTAATTTTACATTGATGAAAGTATTTTCATTGATAGTATTCCTTTTGTTCTTAGGGTATTTCTTTGTGGTAGGCAGAGCATACTTTTTATTCCAGAATTATTTGTTGATTGCTTTATGTATTAACTTTACAGATAAGGCAGATGATGCTCAAGAGAACCTGCTGTTTAGTAAGCAGCAAGTATTATTATAACAACCCTGTTTTTTTCCCTGAACTACAACACCAAATTTAAATACTGAGGAAGTAACAAAAATCCAATGATATCCTCAGTCCTTAAGAATATCAATTTATTTAGGATTTTAAAATGTTTTGAATATTTTATAAAAAAAGTACTGAAGTAATTTTATCACTTTGGGCTATTCTCAAGAAGCAGTGCTTTGTTAAGAACAGAACCATGAATGACAAAGTCAAAAAAGCTTTTTAGAAAGTCTTTATTTTTCTGTTATGAATAATTGCTTTTTCTGGTTATTCCAAATAATTTTAAAAATTCCATAATTTTTATATTCCTGACTGGGATCCATGAAATGAAAGTATAATTCCTACCAAAAGAAACAGAAGCATCAGATACACTGGAAGGCTCTGATTGTTTTATATTTTCAGGAATAAGAGTAACTACATACCCTTTTAGTAACGAGATGGTAGTTTGCTAAAATTTTTATAGGATTTTTAATGATTTATGGTATTCCATGATGAGGCAGCATTCTACCAAATTAGTAGCCTTCCAAAAGTTATAGTACCATGTATAATACTTAAGGATTTAACAGCAGTTTTGTTTTAAATCCAGAATCAGGTTGAATGTGGCTTTTTTTAAAGCCAAAATTTATGCTTTATGTGTATTTGTAAAACACTGAAAACTTAGTGTCCCATTACTGATACTAATTACACTTGTTGAAAAGTAAATTTACATATCAAATGATGAAACATTTTAGTAAAAGTAAAAAAGAAAAAAAAAATAAAGCCAACTTTTTACTTAAGGCTTCATGGAATAGAATTTTTATCTAACCAGAATGACTACATAGGACCCTTTTCTGCTGATGAAAGCATGGAGTCTTAACCTAAAAGAAGCTAAGCGGAATTGTTAGATCTTTGAGTGGAATTGTTAGACCGACCTACTATTGCAGCTTCAACTAGGTACAGTGCATTAATATCTTTGAAATAATGTTTTTTTAAAAATGGAACTTACAGAAAATGATCATATACCAGGATGTTGTAAAGACGGATGTGTAACATCTTTTAAAAACCTTCATTTTTGGTCAGTGTAAATTGCCTTTAATTATTTTTCCATTTCTACTAAGATTTCATTTTGAGATTTTAACGTATTAAGTGAGTGTAAAGTTTTACAATTTATTAATCCTGGATTTCAAGTTACTTAAGATGAAAATGGAAATGTGAAGTTTACTTAAGAAAATTAATTTTCTTCTTCTGTAATATCTAACTCTTCATCTTCATCATCATCTTCTGTTTGTTGATCC